GCGCATGCACGCACGCACGCACGCACGCACGCACGCACGCACGCACACACACACACACACACACACACAACACACGCACGCGCGCGCGCGCGCGCGCATGCACGCACGCACGCACGCACGCACGCACGCACGCACGCACACACACACACACACACACACACACACACACACACCTATCCCCCCAAAAAAAAACTCCACGACAGATGGCGCTCTGGCTCTGGCTCAAGTCACGTATCCTGAGTTGTACGAAGGGGCGCTGCATGCAGTTTGCTATCCCCCCTCGTTTACTTTTTTCCTCACCCCCCCCTCCACCTCCCATTCTAGTACCTATACTTATTCTTGCATTTTCTTGTACCATGCACCTTCCTACCTCCTTCTCTAACTCATCTTACACTAACACCCCATCCTCAACTTTCCCTACCTCCTCGCTCCTCCTCGAGCAGCTCCTCCACGTATACCCTTCTTATCTACTTCTCCTCGTCTCCGTTCTCTTACCTCCTTTACCTCCTCCTCCTCCCTCCTCCCTCCTCCTTCCTCCTCCCTCCTCCTCCCTCTTCCCTCGTCCTCCCTCCTCCTCCACTCTCTATCTCCTTCCTACTTCTACTGTTCTTTATGTCTCTCTCCTCCACCACATCCTCTGCTCCTAACCTTCTCTTGCATTTCCCCTCATTTCCATCTGCTTTTCCCTCTCCCTCTCCCTCCTCTACGCCTTCCCCTCTTACTATACCTTCCGCATCTTCCTCCGCATTTACTTTCTCCTTCCTCTTCTACCTCCCATCTTCTTTCACATCCACGTTCTACTCGTTCTTATCCACTTCCCACGATTTTCTTAATTCTTCTTCTTCCTCCTCCTCCTCCTCCGCCTCCTCTTCTCACTTTCCCACGTTTCTCTTCCTAGCTGCTGCTCTCCTTTTCTCTCCTTCTACGCTTCACATCTCCCCCATCTTTCCTCCCAAAGAACCATCTCCCACCCCGCCACTTTCTCCTGCTCCTCTTCTCTCCTCTCCTTACATTCCTCCCTCCTTTCTCTCATTTACCGCCTCCATTTTCTACCATGTACCGTCTTCTTCACCCCGGCCTACCCCTCCTCCTCTTTTCTCTCCTTCTAGCCTTCACATCTACCTCGATCCCCTCTGCTCTCTCCTCCTTTGCCTCCTCCTGCCCCTCCGTCGCCTTCCCATTTCTGTTTGTTTGTTCTCAAAGCTCTCAAATTGCATCTTCATAATTTGCCAAACAGCTCTCTTCATAATTTCAATTTCTCTAAAAACGTTCGGGTCAAAACTTGCTTAGAAGTGAGCAAACTGCATGCAGCGCCCCCCCCCCTTCGCACACTCAGGATACGTAGAGTCAAGTCCTTGCGTAGATTTAACCTGTATAATACCAGTCGTCATGTTACGCTTGACTGCGCTCGCTACACTGACTGGTGAGTAGGCCCTAGCGGCCGTTACGAGCAGGAGCGGTAATCATTAACGTTAGCGTAGATTGAGCTCTCCCCTCCCTTCTCCACCATCTTCTCCACCACCTCCTCCTTCTCCACCAGCTTCTCCCTTCTTCCCTTCTTCATTCTCCACCAGCTTCTCCCCTCCTCCTTCTCACCAGCTTCTCCCCTCCTCCTTCTCCACCACCTTTTCCCCTCCTTCTCCACTAGCTCTCCCCCTCCTCCACCACCTTCTCCCTCCTCCTTCCCACCAGCTTTCCCCCTCCTCTTTCTCCACCACCTTCTCCCTTCTCGCCCTTCCTCCTTCTCGCCACCAGCTTCTCCCCTCCTCCTTCTCCACAGCTTCCCTTCTTCCCCTTCTTCATTCTCCACCAGCTTCTCCCCCTCCTCCTTCTCCACCAGCTTCTCCCCTCCTCCTTCTCCACCACCTTTTCCCCTCCTTCTCCACTAGCTTCTCCCCCTCCTCCACCACCTTCTCCCTCCTCCTTCTCCACCAGCTTCTCCCTTCCTCTTTCTCCACACCTTCTCTCTTCTCCCCTTCCTCCTCCTTCACCATCTTCTTCACAGCTGGAAGTGATATGCAAATTATCTCCTGTACCGGCCTGAATATAGACAAACCCGCTCTGATTGAGCCTATGAGCGAGAGCGCCATCTGTCGTGGAGTTTGAGAAGTGAGAGCGCTGGAATCCGGCAGCCCAACACCCAGAATGCACGATTGTTGTTTTAACACAAGAACGGACAAATTTACCAACATGAAAGCAAACGACTTTCATCGTTGTGTGCACCACTGATCAGTGATCCTCCTTCAGTCCTTGTGTAATAACAAATCTTAATAGTTTACAGATTTACCAAACGAGTTATGTCGGAGCAGTATTTAAGAAACGCCCTGGCGAAGGTGAGTCATTGTATAGTTGATGTTTTGTTTACAGTTACACCGTTGGATACCCGGATTATGATTCAATCGGCAGTCCTACTCGCTCCTGAGTCCTAGTTTAGTTAGCCCAATCCCGGATTAGTTTAGCACATTTGTGAAAATGAGGGCCGAGGTCCCAAACTAGGATTGTACGCGAATTATTATCATTAATGCCCTATTTCTTTCCAAGTTATTATGCTACTAGTGTAGGAAATCCGTTTTTCGCATTGCTATTTCGTTGGTCCCGCAGTTTACACTGTTTTGTAGGCCCTACTGCCTACTGCAGCTCATAGGGTCTATGTTCCCCAGGGTACTGCCGGAACGTACCCTGGGTACGGTCCGGTATACCGGAACGTACCCTGGTCACTATTTGATATGGTTAGGGTTAGGATTAGGGTTAGGGTTCGGTTAGGGAGTAGGCCGTAGGACTCCCTAGACTCGTTAGTGGAGTAGGCGAGGTACGGTTCGGCATATTAGATAGTACCAGGGTACGTTCCGGCAGTACCCCGGGGGACATAGACCCTCTCAGCCCTACTGCAGTATATTGCATTATTGGTGAGTGGTGTGCAAGTGAGAGTGGAACCTAATAATTCAGGATCTGAGTATGCTACTTTAATAATATGAAAAACTATGTGACTATTGAATCGCAAATGTTGAACTGCCAATCTCATCAACACAACATTGCTATCAGCCTATCAGTAGCCGCAAGTTACCTTCTCGGCGCTACTACGGGGCGAGATGGTCACAAGCGAATGCAGCGACCAAACCTTGTAGCTAACATAGTGCTGTAACAAATCGTACCAATACCGGCCCAAGCCTAGTTTCGTACCCCGGATTAGTTAAGCACATATGCGAAAACACATTCGTGGGGTCCCAAACTATCTCTGATCACCAATACCTAACTTGTGCTGGTTTTTGCCATTTCTCTGTACTTCCTTGCCATTATTAACCATATGTACGCTATTGGCAACTATGTATTTACGTGTCGGCAAGCATTTTTGGGTTTTGATACGGGAGAAATTAGAACAAAGTGGCCATTACTTTTTGAATTCTGCATGATTTTGGTGCACTCTTGCCAGTCTCATATTAGTTCTCACACATGCTTAGTTATGGGAGAATGTGCATGCTTTGCCAACTTTCAAAAGTAACTCCTTTCCAGATTTTCTGATTATGACATGAATACAGATCTAGGCAAATACCAGTTGAGAAGTGTGTCATGAATGACAATACAATTTGAACATGTAACAAGTCAGATCAGGGGTGGTAATACTATTGTTTTATATACGAAATTGGGCATCTGTTTTCGTGCTACAAAATGTTTTGTGTGGAAGGGTGTCAGGCTCCTATGACACGAAACAGTCTTAGAGCCTGGTCAGGCTATGTTGTCATTGGATGTGTCAGTAAAGTAGTCCCTCTCCTGCTTCAGTACACTCGCAGTCCTTTAGATTATCAATAATATTCGTTATGAGGTTATGAAGATTAGTGTCATCAAATAGTATTGTAGGTGGGTAAATATGCATTAGACCTTGACTTGAGTGCTGCTTAAGTCCATACCACACAGAATTTTACAGTGGCTCGTTGAATTAGTAACACTTCCATACGGCAATGTGCCATAAGGAGTTTGAATTCGTTATGCATTACATAATTATAATGTTCTATATATTCTACCCTATATTCTATATTCAATCCTTATTCCCAAACCTAACTCTAATTTATACTGCTGTTACACTTACAGACTAGAATCCATTCCTACCATGTTCAGTGAAAGTGTTCTTGCATGAGTGTAATACAATTAATAAAAGGCAAATGGGGTCATTTTACTGTTATGTAAATATTCTGCGATGCTAAAAGAAGCTAGTCACCTAGGGGATTACCAACTCTTTAGCTATATAATAGTGAGAAACCTTGACGCCAGTTAATCTCTATCTGAAAATAGGAAGCATTATATATCTTCGTACGTTTTTCTTGGCCCTTTAAAAAACAATCTTGAACAGCTTTGATTTCTGTGTATCCCTATCCTGCCCTATATTGGTCTGCATGCTTGTCTATTTCTCTATCCATTTGTTGTGCAATAATGGTATTCCACTGTTTGACACAAAATTTGCAAAGACACAAACTGCCCCATCCAAGGATCGGTTCCCTAACTGGAGATTGACTAACCTACATTTTCTTTGTTGCTTTATTCTATGAGGGGGTAAGTGAGGAGGAGGGTATAACTATTACCACCAAAGTAGCACATGCTATGACATTTTCTTACTTCCTTTTGTTGGTAGTTAGTGGTAATTTAGTATATAGTTCTGAACTTCTGATCAAACAGATCTATGTTAGTCAAGAAATTATAACTACGTATCACTACAGTTGTGAAACAAGTTTTGCTGAGATTTTTTTTATTTTTCGCATACAGTTGACATTTAAAAAGTAAATATTGCTCTCATTTCTTGTGCTTATAGTTGTAACACCTCAAGCCTTTAATTCTGTTTTAATATTTTTTACAGTACCGTTATGCAGACATAGCGAAGAGAGATGTTACAAATCTGACCCGCCAGTTTCCTGACCTAAAACCGAAACTGGATAATTATAGTAAGTTAATCGGTTTTCCAGATTCTATCTGTCACCCAAGTTCCTTATTATGTTTTATTTGCATTAAATTTTGTGATTGTCACCTTTGTTTTGCTATATTTTCTTCAATCCAATAATGAGGATCATTTCTGGAATACTCTCTTACAGGTTTTAGCAATTACCAGAGCAAGCTATCAACATTATAGACTAACTTTTCAAGATAGCTAAGCGTACACACACACATCCGTATATAAATAAATAAGTAAATAAATGAAAATATATTTACATATATATATCTTTTAGATGGTTTGTGACACAATGATTTGCAATATTATAGGAACACGCTTTTAGCATTTTTTTTTCTTATTTAGTTTTCACAGATGGAGCACAAAAGGAACTGTTGCAACTAGAAGGAACTATCCCTGTAAATTACAAAGGTAGCACTGATAATTCTTTTGGGTTTCTCTTGAAAGTTGTGCAAGTTATAAATGTTTTTATTCTATATTTATTATAATATAATAATATGTATGACTATTTCAACCTTACAACCAGATACCTTTGTTTATATAACATAACTGTACATTACAGGGTGCGAAATTAGCACCGGCCCACCAGCATATGCCGGCAAATTATTTGGAGGGCCGGTAACATTAGCAAAACACCGGCCCTCCGAGCCGGTGGTTTCAGCCGTGTTAGCGAGTACCTACATTTTTATTTATAGCCTACATTATTTAGAGCAAATAGCCTACATTACTGTTTTACCTGAAGGATATCACGCCATAACATTGTACGCCATCAACGCCATCAACATTTTACAAATTTGAAATCGAGAATGCAAGTTTGAAACATGACATTGATTTTACAAACAAATTTGTGAGGGCTGGTAAATTATGGTGAGGGTTGGTAAAAATTACTGTTACCAGCCCTCTGGGCCGGTGCCAAAAAATCTGAATTTTGTGCCTTGCATTACCTAATTGTGCTTATTTACATAAACCGTTTAATGCTGCAACATTGTCAAGGTGCATGTAATCTTTCATTTCATTAAAATTTTAATCCGTAACATGCACTAGTATGATTCTATTTAGTTTTGTAATGTGTATGCTTTGGATATTTCTAGGCACTACGTACAATATACCGGTGTCTATTTGGCTGGTAGATACCCACCCCTATAACCCACCCATGTGTTACGTTAAACCGACCAGCACCATGCTGATTCGGCCTTCTAAGCACGTGGATGCTAATGGGAAGATTTATCTGCCTTATCTTCACGAGTGGAAACAGGTAGATTCAATTAACAACACCACTTTAAATAAAAGTTGATTAACAGATCTGTTAAATTGCCAGGTGAATATCTTTCTTGCATAACCATTAAGATGGTGCATGAGGTTTATCTTGTGCATTTTGATACTCATGGTATTTGTTTTGCGGTCCTTAATGTCATGGGGGATGAAACTGGCGAATAAATTACATATCTTTTTTTTAAATTTTACGTTAACTATTTACCACGATACTTGGTTTTAGAATGTTTTTTTACATTTTCATAGCATTTTTATGATATGATCTGTCTCTCCCATTCAGCCAGCTTCAGACGTGGTTGGTTTGGTACAGATCATGTGTATTGTGTTTGGAGAGATGCCTCCTGTGTATTCAAAGCCAACTAGCAGTCCTCAGTCTTCATACTCACAGCAGCAAGGACACACAGGTTACCCAACTGGACAAGGTATGAGTTGCAGCTGTTATGCCCTTCCATTAAATTTTTTATAACGGTAGTAATGTTTTGCATTGCTGAATGATGATCTTCGTATGTAAAATCCTTACTTTTGTTGCTGCAAGTGGGTCTCTGATTGGTTGGTGCTGTTGCTAAGGGCTGCAGCCTGCATGACACAGAATGTCTGGGAGTTGATTGGTTTGCTTAGTTTATCTTTGATTTTATGTGGTTGAGATTGTGTTGATAGCTTTCTGGAATGCATTTTAACTGTCACTGCCTCCTAGGTTACATGCAGATGCCACAGCCAGGCCAACCAGCTGGACAGTACAATCCGGGCTACCCAACTCCCTACTCGAACTATAATCCACAACAGTACCCTGGTAAGTACCCTGATAATCACTCAACATAATGTATACCAAAATAAGATTAGTAATCTTCAATTTCTTGATGGGGCGATTGCAGGCCCATTTTCGTACGATTGTTAACTGAAGCCATTCTAAATAAAGTGCGTTGCTGAATTACACGGCAGCAGAATACAGGAATATCTTGGCTCAGAATGCAATCAGAAACGATGCCTATTTAACTCGTCTAGCAAAACCTGGTGAGGTCGTGCATGTGAGAACATCCTATCCATATCAGTATCTTAGTAATCAAGCCGTGTTATAGCCACTGTACGTATAGTTTACACCAGAATGGCCTTATCTTGTCACACCTAGCAGTCACCGTGACCGCCGCGACCCGTGATAATTCGAGTTAACATCGAAAGTGCCACGATTGTCATGTAATTCCAGGGTCGTCAGGTTACCAGCAGCCACCAGCGGGTTATCCTGGTTACACACCGAGCAGCAGCGGCCAATCCCCCGGTTACCCTGGTGCAACACACCAGCAGTCTAGTCCTTACTATGCTGGTGCGGGCACAGCAGGTAAGACTATTAATGACGAACCGTGCATAAAAGCAAGCATGGTATAGAGGGGCACCAGACTGTGGCACAAGGGACGTCTATGTTTCATATTCACTAACACATGATATATTAAAAATGTTGTCGTTAGACTTAGATGTACTAAAAGTACTAGGCTTCAGGGTTAGATATAACATTTTTTACCATGCAGTAAGTCCTTGCTGCCAGGAAAAAACAGGCAGCAACCATATTCACCCAGGTAGAAACTTGAAAAAACGATAGCAGTTCCACTTTCTTCCACCTTCAGACAGTACTGTCTTATTGCCTCTTGCTATTAGAAAGCTCATTTGGCCTCCTAGCCCTGTTCCTCCTGATTTGTTCCTTCTAAGTATTATCACCTATGCTTAATCTAAGTTGCACATCAAATGAAGTATGGACAGTCACGTAGGGTCAACGCGATTTGAAGAAATAACCCTGAACAACTGGCCACCATTTTCGACCAGAAATTGTCTATATCTCTGGTGCTTTTAGTATACTTTATTAGGAATTTTTTGGCCGCAAGTATTTATGGGTGACAATGAGAGCAGGCAGCAAACTGACCCTTGTAGGCAGCAAAACTGCTGCAGAATACCCTTAATTTTGAATTCTGTAGGCTTGAACATGCATGCCCGCTGTTGTGTTTTGGGAGAATTTTGTGTCTAATGTCTACACTAAAACGTAATTCTCTGACAAATCATTATTCATCTGGTTTGTGGCGCAGCTACTGGAAACACAAATACGGTGACAGAAGAACATCTTCGTGCGTCCATCCTTTCAGCTGTGCAAGACAAGATGCATCGCAGGCTAAAGGAGGTGTTTGCACAAGCACAGGTTAGTGCTACTTCTCGCACATTATTGTACAACTCGAGTGTACGATCATGTCGTACTAAGCTTCGTGTTAATACCATTTATGTTGATTTTGCATATTCGTCTCAGTACCGTCACACAGTGCATGCACTTCAATCAATGTTTCATCTTTCTCTACATTTAAATCATGATACATTTGTTTGGCGATAGATTAATGATACTAATCTTTCCGAGACCATGTTTCTATTAATTGATCGTGTTCTTATGTTGGCTCTAGGCTGAAATGGATGCATTGAAAAAAACACAGGAAGATTTGAATAAAGGGAAGGATAGGTTGGAGCAGATTATTAACAGTCTAGAGGAAGAACAGGTATGGTTCAACACAACCCCACTCCACAGTTAGAGGATAATCACTATTTATTATATTTATAAGTCTCAGGTTAATTAGAATGAATCTGTTACAGCAGCAATCGCACCAGTATTGAATGTTCATACTTATTACTGACACATGTTCTAAAGAATTTGACGATACATTTAGTCCCATTAGTACTTACTTATAATGTAAAAAAATGGCAATAAAAATTTTACAAATATATACCATAGAAAATTCGTGACGTAGTCAATTTAATAGTTTACTCTATCAGTCTGTGGGTGATTGTTGCATTTGGATCGAAAGCACATGCGTGTGTCATGTTGGATGCATACATGTATATATAATATCACTGATTATCTGCTGACTGAACATTACAGGTGAAGGTAGATCAAAACGTAGTGCTGCTGAAGGAGAAGAGTGAAGAGCTGAAAAAGCTGCTAGGCAAGATGGAGGAGCAGGAACAAGTGGACATTGACGATGCTGTTGTCACGACTGCGCCACTCTACAAGCAGTATGTACATCTATAGTAAACAATCAGTATAATATATCAAGAGCTCATAATAGAGAAGTGTATGACACCGTTTTAACAGCGTTTTGCATAGTTTTCAACTTGTAAATATTCTATCAATATGTGAATAAATATATTCAAAGCTTATCTTGTTTTCGTCTATTGATTTCTCCCTTATCATATGACACACCATTTTCGCTGAGATCGTATGTGTTCTTCAAAGAGTTCTTGTTTGATACGACACCGGGTTTCACCGGTTTTCCAAAATGTTCGCATGTATTCGGGGGCAAGTTTTTATCCGATTAGTTTCTAATTGGATCTATGATGGAAGCTGGGGGCTGGTTGGGATATGTGAGCGGGCAAGTGAATTGTATTCGAGGTTGTGCAAGTTTCCAGCCGTGGCTAGAATAAATGTTGCTGCTACGGGCACGTGCAGGCTTGATTTTCAGCTGTGTTACTGTGTTGCCTGATGATAAGAAGCGGAGGCAAGTGTGTTACTGTGATTACCTTAATATCGACCCACAGCCCAGCAGGTTCCCGTTAGTTAGCAAGCTGGTGCTGGCCGCGGCATATCAACTATGCGCACGATACATGCAGCATTTGGGAACTGTGTGAAACGTGTCGTATTTTAAAGACTTTTTTGAAGACTGCAATTAACACTTAATTAACAATAAGCTTTGCGGGCAGAGCGTAGACTACTAGTATATGTATATATGTAGTATATAATATTATATGTAGGTTTTACCCCTCAGGCGGAAATGGCTTATGATTTAATAAGTTGTTCTTTGCCGTAAATTGATGCCGAGTGACACACTTATTGCTGTATGTTAAAGAAAGCAGTTGTTCACTGTGGAGATTATTACGAAAATCGTTTCCCATCCTTCAAGGGTCCGGTGGCCATACTGATGACTCGTTTTATTAGCAGAACGTGCCATGATTATAGTGGATGATATGAATGTGTATGTTTTTTCCAAGCAATTGAGTGTATATTGTTTCCTGATTGACATGGCCTTCTAACAATCATAAATTTCTGTTTTTCAGATATCTAATGCTTTTTCTTGAGGGATGCAACGACAGATGTATTGTTATACTTTGGCGGGCCTTGGAAGGCGTGTGATTGAACAGAAGTTTACTTGAAGGTTAGTTCTGTGGATAACTATGATATTTTGTAGCTGAAATCAGGAGCGTATAATGACAAAGGAGTAAGGACGCGATTTGGTACTGATTTCACTAACAGTATTTGTCGTGCAGAAAGTCTGCGAATCGGTGAATAAACTTACAAAATGATAGTACAAAATGAGTTTTTTTGGGTTCACTGGGTCTTATTCTATCTTCCAACGGTAGTATTACAAATAGACCACATAGCTTCCTGTGTTTCTTGACATAAATCGGTAACTTTTCACGACTGTGGTTGTATCCGTTATTAACGTATCGTTGGCGAGGCGCACCTCTAAATTTAGCACACACAGCTCTTCAATGGAGCACCGGCAGGTGGAATCGCGGTTCAGGCAGCGCCAGAGCGGCACTGTACGAGGAAGGCTTAGAGATACGGTTGATTGCTAGTGCAATTAATGAAGACCGAATAGATGACGAAAAGCCTACCAATCGGTTGGCTAGTACCAAACAAGTCAGGTTCGTTATCCTAACATTATACAGTGCATTCCTCGGCGGCCGTCGAAGTGTTTCAGATATTTTTTACCAGACGCAGCGTTTATTAAAAAAAAGCTGCAGGGGATTAACCATAAACAAGGGCATTCCTAAACTATAGATTTAATGTAATAGTTTTATTTAATTTTTTTAAAACAGCATGGGTGCACGTTAATTAAAGCCCGCCACAATGACGGCATCAAACGCTATTTACTCCTAGATAACTAGACTAGCTAAAATCTTGGACGTGATCATGCTAAATACTACCTTATGGCAAAGATAAAAATCTTTAGTTCCTTCCCATTTCACAGCTGCGGGTTGTCTTGTAGAAAGGTATTGTTGAAAATACCTCCAATGTTGTTGGAATTCTCCGATGTTGTTGAGACAGTTTCCCCAATTCTCCAAGCAGACACGTGCAAGCGGCGGCATCGAGATCTGCGCGGGAATACAGCGGTACAAGGGCGCAGCAAAGATAAAAACATGGTGACCGTTCACGTCACCACACTTCGAGGGCTATTATCTGTGTTGGCGGGAAGCAGGTCGGCCTGATTTGCGCCAGGATGCCGAGTTTTTGCTACACACTCTTTCTTGTGGGTTTTAAAGCAACGGCAAGTGAAATGGAGGCAACTAGGAGTTACTATTTTTGTCATAACAGTAGTAGTGATTATGATGAACACGAAGTATTTGCTAGGATCTAATGATATGGGAGAATGTTAGCGTTGGAAATGCGCTTGTGAGCTCCTATTTAATTTTAGTAGCGAATCTTTCTGCACTCGACTAGGTACGAGGCCGAAAAGCACTGACCGTGGCTCATTGAAGAGCTGTGTGTGCAAATTTAGAGTGTGGCCTCGCCAGATTACGGTAACTAAGGTGAAAACCATGTCGTGGAAAAGTACGAATTATGTCAAAACGAAGGAAGCTACGCGGTTTGTAATACTACCGGAAGATAGAATAAGGACCAGTGAACAAAAGAAGCTCATGTTTGTATACATTTGTATTTTTATTCACATCGAACTCGTACGACAAAAATGTAGTGAAATCAGTACCAAATCGCTGTCTTACTCCTTTGTCATTATACGCTCCTGCTGAAATGTAATGCATTCTGGAAGATATATTCCTTAGAGAAGTGCAGGATGTGGAGTATCTTGTTTAATTAAATTAGCATAACGTTACTTATACACGAATTTGTTGAAAAGTGGAAATCATTTAAAAGTTTCTTTGAAATTTTTGGTTATGTTGTTTTATTGGTATAACAATAAATAATAGCATGGTTTTTTTTATTGCATTTTTTAGCATTCGTTGTACATTAGTGCCTTTTTGAGTTTAACATTTTAGTTGATGTTCCTGATACTAGGTGGCAGCACGTGTTCACAATCACGTTATAATCCATAAATGATTGTGTAACTGCCAGTGTTATGACATAAAAATATAAAAATTTATATATGTATTAATGTAGTAAATATTATTTAAGAAGTAGTTGCAATATTCTTGCGAGTAGTAATATCCGTATTCACTCACGGGCCGTGGTTAGCACGAAGTATGTGATGTGAATGACAACAAGAGACACACCACAAACTCTTTAGAGTGAAGTGTGTACCAGTGAGTACTATTCTCACCGATAGATGGCAGTTAATATTAATTTAACGAAACTTTGACATATATTATTTTGGACATAAAGTTATTTTACACCGAAACCTCTGTACCAGTGTCCAGATTTTGGTTATAATTATTGTCTCGTAAATAGAAGCTTACAATTGTATGCGTCAGTGAGCAAGTATCTTGGCAGTGTCAAAGGTTATGTATCTAGCCACCACAAATATTTGTTGTTGCTTCGTATACAAGTGTTAGGGGGAACCTAACCAAAGCATACTTACCTGGCATCGGGGCTTCCATGATCAACAAGGCGGATCCCCCAGGAAGAGGCCTTTCCATTGCACTTCGGTTTGGCTGACTCCTGCGATTCTCTCAAATCGAGGGAACTCGGGTGTATAATTTTTGTTAGAGGGGGACTGCGTTCGCGCTATCCCTCATAAATAATCAAAAAATATGTGAATTTCTTTTATGAAGTTTATCAATCGGTTAAAGTCATCTTGCTATTTTCAGCATGTCAGGGAACTCTCTCGAGAACAGTTCATGCTTCGAGCCCTGATGAAGAAGTGCAGAGATAAGGCTGGTCTTGTTGAGGTGACCCAACCGATGCGGTTCTAACTTGTAAACCAGGTGGTGCAGCTCGGCACAGTCACTCTGCCAGTGATGTTTGCCTCTTAGATAATGGATATATCTAATGTCGCACATAGGACTGTAAGATATTTATGAATTATGAGGTTGTATGGTGTGTATCAGCTGCCACGGAGTCTACTATTAACATAATCAGCGCTAGGCAGATTTGCAATTAAAGTTTTGTGGCACCACTCGTTGTTATGGAATTAATTTGAAATATTGCTTTTATACGTGAATCACTATGAATTTTTTGTTGAGTATAGGTTTTCTAAGAAATGTTGCTAGTTTTGTCTTATATATGGGTGAATTTATATATCTAGGCTGCAGACCACCCAGTGCTCTTCTCTGAAAAGTAAATTAATGGGAATGGGGAAACTTGGGTTGAGAGTAAACTATTTACATTTTGCTTAGACATTCTAATGTGATCACAGCTACACATGGTGTTAGGTACATCTAATGTGAGTTGGTGCAACTGTGAATCAATAGTAAAACATTTTACTGGAAAACAAATTTTCATTTACAATGCATGTATTATTTTCCCGTATACTGTGCTGTCACATTATTTGTAGGAATTGTATGTATCTGACAAAGGGCGTATCTACATAAATCCACTATTTGCGTTAGCATTATACAACAATACGTACTGGCTGTACACGAACATAATATAGGAATACATCATATAGGAATTATCAAACGTGTTTACCAAATGCATTAAGTGGTATCAAATCATATTTGTGAATTCTGTGATTCATGTTGGATTAGCTGAAAGAGTATATAGCGTGGTACGCATGAGTATTCATTTAGACTGGGCAACCCTGTGCAAATTGTTGTCTGCATAACGCTGCATACATTAAATTACATATTATTGTAGTTTCCATTAACGGCTGTAAATGTGGCACGTGTAATGTGTCAGCACTATATAAGTGTGTGTGGTGGTACAACAAAGATGTTTGCGTCTACACATAGCAGGAGTAACAGTTTTCATATCTGTAAAAATGGAGTAATGAAGTCATGCCTTTCGTTAACCTTGATATTTTTAACTAGTTATAAAGAAAATTCATATATCAGAATGACATTTTGCTTGTGTTGGGTTCTTTATGACTAGATTTCATGTAAGTATATATATTGTTGCATAACCAACTGATGTCAGTCAACCATACAGCTGTGAACACTATAGGTGTTGTTTAGTTCACCAGGTGACATGCTGTGACAGCTTTCACACTTCATGCCTTGGGAAGCAGGTCTTGTCACCGCTTGTTGATATTTTTAACATGTAGTAAATATTGTCGGATCAGAATATGTGACATGTGCGTGCGTGCGTGCGTGCATGCAAACATATTTATATTCCTCGTATAGGTGATAATTTAAAAGTAATGAGAACAGGTCTTGCTCTTGTTAGAGGGTATCATAATTATTATTTGAATGCCACTTTTGTTCACTGAAGGGCTGCGGCTGGTCTGATTATTACTGATGTGGCTGTTTATGATTATGTGCGTTATTCCGATACTGACTGCTTTATGTTAGTAATAAAAATGTTTATAATGCAAATAACGGAATTAGAGAAGATTAGAAGGCTTATATTGTATAATGATTACGTCAATGTTAAGCCGATTGTGAGAACCTGCCGAATATTGTTTGTGAAAACAAGAAATGATGCGTCTTTTTTATGATACTCTGGTTACATGTTTTTTGGATAGATCTTTTTCTTGTTATGTTATTGGTCGTCAGTGTGGAGTTTATGCAGCAAGTGACCTAGATTTCCACGCACACGAAACACTGCTGTTACAATTTAAACAGTCCTGTAGCAAATGCACGTGCCGGTTTTTGACAGAATTTCCATCTGAGAACACCTGAACAACAGCGTACATACAATAATAAATAGTTATTCAAACTCATTCATGTGTATTCATTCATTCACCGGCTCCAATGTTTGTAATTTGTGGATGTACACTAACCTGTATGATACAGGCGGTATGTTCCGCTTCACTACACTATCTACAGGGGTGAAGTGTAGTGAAGCGGAACCGGAACCGCCTGTATCATACAGGTTAGATGTACACCTGCTGCTGTAACAACCCTAAGACATGCGTAGCAGCCTTATTATATATTACACAGGCCAAATCCAAGTGCAACATACGGTATCTCGTAATATTGAAAACGCACTTTCACATATATATTGTTGCAAAGTTCACGGTATAACAAAATTCACATAACCTAAAAGTGCACGCTTATCAATTTATCTCCCGGGAGATGGCGCGACGAGGCGACGAATGATTTTCTAGGAAACATGGCAGCCTCCACCCAAGCGAAGTCGGGAGATTCGGTTGCTGAAATATTCGAAAGCATGAGCTATGGACCAGCCCCAGAGTCTCCCGAAGCCGCAAAGGTAAGCCAGTTGATATTTCATATAGTTTGCGTATTTTGATTAATCGCGTTGAGCTCTGATCCTAGTCTAGAAATAGAACGTGATTTGCCTGGCCGGGGTCTCAAGCCTCAGGCTCAAGGATAGTCCGATATAGACACTTTAATCCCAATAAATGCTGGCCTTGTCTATTAGTACTCGGAGCGAGGGTGCGTCAACAAAAGCGGAACAGCTTGTAACAGCGTATATACTGCTAAAAGTCATACTAATATTACTATTCCTTTCACCCATGACCAGAAATGGCTAGAGGACCACAGCAATGGCAACCTGGGCCACTTCATTAACAACCAGTGGATGCGGCCTGAAGGCAGGAAGGCTTACGAGACGCGCTATCCTGCCACTGGCGAGGTTATGGCCTCCACAGTGCAGGGCACGCAGGAGGATGTTGACACGGCTGTTGCTGCCGCAAAGACTGCGTTTGGGAGCTGGAGCAAGCTGTCGGGACATGTGCGCGCTCGCCACCTGTACAGGTAAGTGCCCACGTCCGGCGCTTGTTCAATCATGCATGCACTATGCTGAATTACGCGAGGTCGTGGAGCCGGGACCAAAATGGGTTGTTTAATAGAACAGTAAATTTGTTAATAAAAAATGTTGGTATGGTTAGGTTTAGTGGACATTTTTCATCGACTACTTGTGATAATAAGAGAGATATTGTTAATCAGATAGATAATCAGATAATCAGAAAGGGTTGGTATGGTTAGGTTTAGTGGATGTTGTTTATCGAATACTTAGTGATAATCAGAGAGGGTTGGTATGGTTAGGTTTAATGGACATTGTTCATTGACTCCTTGTGATAATCAGAGAGGCATTGTTCTCGCACGTGTCACAGCATCGCTAGACACGTACAGAAACACCAGCGTCTGATCAGTGTCATCGAGGCCATGGACAACGGAAAGACAATCCGCGAGACAAGAGACTGCGACATTCCCCTGGTGGTGAGACACTTCTACCACCATGCTGGTTGGGCCGAACTCATGGACACTGAGATGCAAAACTGGAAGCCGATAGGTATTACAGTCAGCCCTGTGTTAACAGTCACATGTGTAGAATATATACCTGCATAACAGTGCATATAGCGCACAATTGACACCTCTCTTCAAGTGGCAAACATAAAATCAGGCAAAAATGAATTATTTTAACATTGCACGTTTGTACTTGCCTATATATATGTGTGATAGACTGATAGGTAAAAAAAATTGCTCGGGAATACGTACATTCGAAGCTTTTAGACAACGAAGTGAAAGTGTCGAGTCAAATGTTTCAAACAGCGTTTACTTTTGCTGCTCTGCAGTGATGTGAAGCGTCTCTTGTTGCCATGCGGTGTTGCCAAGCGCTGATAATGCACTATGAAGGTCATGAAGGCTGTGTTCATAGATATCATATAACACATGTGTTATATGATATCTATGGCTGTGCTGGTTAAGTGACCTGCATCGACTCTTGCCGCCATGATACAGAACAGCAACGAAAAGCGTTTTTCGAGTTGTTTTTTCGTTGACCAAATATAGGCTTGATACATATTTTTTTTTTTTATATATATTTTTTATTTATTTTATTTTTTATTTTTTATACCGCAGCGATGGCTCAATGGTAGAGTGCTCGCCTCGCATGCGGAAGGTCGTGGGTTCAAATCCCGGCCGGGTCATACCAAAGACTTGAAAAATGGTACACACTGCTTCTCTGCTTAGCACTCTGCTTAGCACTCAGCAAAAAGAGATAGAGTGTGGAAAACGTCCACGTCGCGTAGTTGAATAGTTAGTAAAGGGATACAGTCGTAAAATCTGCTTCAAGATAAATTGTGCAATAAGAACTGCCAAACTGGACCGAGCCAGCGATTACCTGAGGTGGGTTCTACATGTGTGATTTAAAACCCTAGAGTCCAGTATAAAATAAAGTAACCGAACAAACAAACAAACAAAATATATTTTTACAGTTATTTTCAAAGCTAACGTTCAGTTAAAGTGTAGTGAGTTATTGTCTTCCCCGAACGAGTTCGGGGGAATACTATCAGGAGTAGATAATAGGGAGGAGTGTGACATCAATAAACAAGGAAATTCGTAATTTACTAGCCTTATAATACCTACGATTTACTCGCGATAACTCACTCAACACTTGAGCTCAAAATCGCCACGTACATTCGCCCCATTGTACGAAATCATTTCCTCGTAGAGCACCGCAATCCGTAGACTACAGCCTAAAACGTACGACACGATTCTCCATTCTCTGGCCATTATCAACGCCCATTGGTGCGCCTATAATTCAGACAAAAGCAGCAACCTGGCGTGCAGTCGCTGTGTTTGCTCTTCTCGGATAGCTGACAGTGAATGTGGCGTTGTGGCTCGCAGGGAGATTGGAGATCGACGCAACACTCGACGAGCTAATCATTTTGGTTGGCGTGCGTGCGTGAAGGCATGCCAGCTATGTACAAAGTGGCCTGTGTAGCCTGTGTACGGGTCAAAGGTTATCTCGCCAAGTGTTGAAGCCTAATCTCCACGCGAGCACATGCCCTCGCTCAGTTAGCAATAAAAAGCGTGTTAGGTAGCTGCTTTGTTTGAAATTATAGGCGCGCAATGGGTTGGATTGATGGCCAGAGAATGAAGAATCGTGATCGTACGTTTTAGGCTGTATCTACGGATTGCGGGTGTCTACGAGGAAACATTTCGTACGATGATGGCGGCGAATGTACTGTGTCCGATTTGAGCTCAAGTTGGATGAGTTACGTGTAATAAATCGTAGGTATTATATAAGGCTAGTAAATGACGAATTTCCTTGGTTATTTGATGTCACACTCCTCCTATTATCTAATCCTGATACTAAGAATTTGGCCTCGTCGTGCCGCCGCCGCCGCCGCCGAAGATTTCCTTGTGAGCGCTCTACGGCTGCAGTTCTTTTCGGATCATCTTCCAAATTTCGCATGAAGGTGCGTTATCGTAAAGGAAGACGCCAATTCGTTTTTTGGTGTGGGCGGAGTCATCGTTGCCATGGCAACAACATTTTTTGTCAAAATATTCTAGAACTGTAACTTCTGCAGTTTTTATCCGATTTGTCATGAAATTTGGCACACAGGACCAATATATACATACATATTATATATAATATAATATAGGACATTCTATATCGGCCCTGTGTGCCAAATTCTATGACATCTGGTAAAAACAGCACAAGTTACAGGTTTATACAATATTTCACACAAATCTTGTTACCATGGCAGAATCACTCTGCCACACCAAAAACGATTGGGTCTTTGCTTTACCATATACGCACCTTGGCGTCTTGGGGAGAAGGTGTACACAGTACCAAAACCAGGCTCACTGCCGACCTTCATTTCACCTTTACCCTGACCTTGATTCATATTTTCTTCGCTCTGTAACTCGGCCCCTAATTCACCTAGCGCTACCAAACTTGGTATACTTACACATCTTGGGGAGAAAGGTGTGCAGAGTACCAAAACCAGGTCACTGTGACCTTATATTCACCTTTACCTTGACCTTGGTCATATTTCCCTTCTGCCTCTCTAACTCAGCCCTAATTGACTAGCGCTACAAAACTGTGTATAGCTTACACATCTTGGCCCGAGAGGGGGAAATGCTTCCCTGGGTCCGCTTGGAGGGAGCCGCACGGATGGCAAGATAGTATTTAGGTCTAATATTATTCGTCATTAAGTATTGTATTAGTAATTAGTATTAGGTTAGGCGTTAGGATTAGGTTGGGTTAGGCGTTTAGTTTAGGCTTAGTTTAATGGTTTAAGGGTAATAGGTTTCTTGATATCATGATATCTGTCTACACACATAGAATTAAATTTTTGCGCATTACAGGACCGCGTACAATTATAGCGGTCCGAGTTTATCATACTTCACGTGAGTTAAAGCGTTTCTTGGATTGAGGGAGTGGGATTAATGGTTTAGCGGATGGGTATATAGATTTATTTGGAGAAAGTAATTTTTGTTTACGTCAACTGTATCACTTGACACTCCCTCCGCGACGCCCGGGGGATAAGCAAACCCTTTGGGCGAGAAAGGTACTGTCGCATACCACCACCACTGCTCTTAGACCTTGAAGTTTGACCATTGGACGACTCGACCTGTTACATTTCCTCTTCGGCCTCCTAGGGTAACCAGATTTCATATACTTGCACATCTGAGGCAGACCAGTTGTCTAACAAACCTTTGTCTTTGTGACTTATTTAACTTTACCTGCCTTCTACGTCCTTACAGAGATATTCCATTCATACTAGATCACGTACATGTAGTTGGCGACAACTGCTCGTTTCTAATTTACTTACGTTTTTACAGTGGTTTGTCACAAAAATGTGTGTGGGAAGGCATCTTTAATTGTAATAATACAGTGAAACCATCTCCATAAAATAACCACTTCACTATCAAGGACTTGTTTGGCTTTCCACTTGATTGTCTGTTATATGTACAAGCATGTTTGCACTAATGAGAAGGTTGTGTATTAATCATGATTCATCACCACACCAGACATCTTAGCTTAATAACTTATCACACATACACCATACACAGCACCATGCACATAATACCATAGCAACGTGGTAAGCGTTTATGTTCTGTTAGGGCCCCATAAAATTTTTTTTTTTTCAAAAATCCTTACATCTCAGTCTGACATTCTTATCAATTGCTTTTGTGGCGAATCTGATGGCTTGTTATTGCTATTAGTTTAGGATGTGTTAGCTGATTCACTTAGATCTCCAGTAGATATAAACCTGACCGATTTAAATAACCGGTTTTGAAAGCCTGTGTGTCAAGTTTCAGTTAAAAGAAGGATTTTCTTTTTTCCTTTATGTCATATTTAAATTGTTCTAACAGGACAAAAAGTGTAAACACTCGGTTGTGTGATGTCGTGGGGAAGCAGCGAGAAATAATTTAGCATTGAGAAATAAGTAATATAGTGATAATAGTATAATGAGTAAATATATGAGTTTAATATAATATAATGAGAATAATATAAATGATATAATATAAATATAAATAAAATAAAATATATAATATAAATATAATATATGATAATATAAATGAGAATAATATAATAGAATATAATGAGTAAATAGTGAGAAATAATTTAGCATTTCTATCGTATGATAACGTTTCGCAGTAGTGCTTAGCTTGAGTTGTGACGTTTTTGGTTGTTCCTCGTGTAGGTGTGGTAGGTGGGATTGTACCATGGAACTTCCCACTTATGTTGCTCACATGGAAGATCTGCCCTGCCCTTGCGATGGGCAACACTGTTGTTCTGAAACCTGCAACTTACACCAGGTATAAACTGTTTTGGGTGTCCAAACGCGTGAATTGTGTAAACTTGTGTTACATGTGTAGTCAGTAATTCCGGATGTTCAGTCGTCAATTCATAGGACGAAATATGCCCATGTATAATTGTATCCCCCGCGACGAAGTCGGCGGGGATACTATGGTTTTATGTCTGTCCAGCCGCCGCCGCAGACACTTTCCCTTCCGCTCTATAACTCGGCCTCTAATTGACCTAGTGCTACCAAACTTGGTATACTTACACATCTTGGGGAGAAGGTTTGTCGCGTACCAAAACCAGGTCTCTGCGACTTATATTTGACCTTGAACTTGACCTTTGGTAAAAACAGCACAAGTTACAGGTTCTACAATATTTCCACAAAAATCTTGTTACCATGGCAACGATCACTCTGCCCACACCAAAAACGATTGGCGTCTTTGCTTTACCATAACGCACCTTGGCATCTTGGGGAGAAGGTGTACACAGTACCAAAACCAGGTCACTGCGACCTTCATTTCACCTTTACCCTGACCTTGATCATATTTTCCTTCCGCTCTGTAACTCGGCCCCTAATTCACCTAGCGCTACCAAACTTGGTATACTTACACATCTTGGGGAGAAGGTGTGCAGAGTACCAAAACCAGGTCACTGGGACCTTTATTTCACCTTTACCTTGACCTTGATCATATTTCCCTTCTGCTCTCTAACTCAGCCCCTAATTGATCTAGCGCTACCAAACTTGGTATGCTTACACATCTTGGGGAGGGGAAATGCTATCCCCCGGGCGTGGAGGGACGCCGCACGATGGCAGCACTAGTATTAGGATTAATATTATTCGTATTAGTATTAGTATTAGTATTAGTATTAGGTTAGGGTTAGGGTTAGGATTAGGGTTAGGGTTAGGGTTAGGATTAGGGTTAGGGTTAGGGTTAGGGTTAGAGTTTTTGTATCATGATATCTGTCTCCACACCATAGATTAATTTTTGCGCATCAGACCGCTACTATATAGCAGTCCGAGTTTCATATACTTAGTGATAGGTTTCTGGTTAGAGGTGTTGGAGTTAGGTTTACCGGATGGGTAATGATTTTGAAGTATACGTCAACTGTATCACGTGACCGTCCCTCCACGCCCGGGGGATAGCAACACCCCTTGGGGAGAAGGTCTGTCGCATACCCAAACCACTACTGCTCTTGACCTTAGTTTGACCTTGACCGTCGACTTACATTTCCTCTTCGGCCTCCTAGGGTAACCAGATTTTATATACTTGCACATCTGAGGCAGACGAGTTGTGTAACAAACCTTAGTCTTTGTGACTTATTT